ATGTATATCAACAGGTACCACATGGTTTCCCCCACCCCAAAGCCCTGTAAGACTAAAATTTCATAAATCTGCTAAATTATATTTGATAAAGAACCAATTTAAGCCAGATGACTGCAGTAGCTGACAGAATTTTAATAAGGTGACATAGTAATTTAACACAGCCTTTATTTTTGTTTCAAAACAAAATTCCAGGACACAAAATACTTAACAAGAGTTGGGTAAAAATTAAAATAAAAATCACAGTTTCGAATAATCAAAACCAGACAACTGCTGAAGGGTAGATCACTTGGCTTACCAAAAAAAAAGGAAAAGAAGAAAAGGTAATGTTAAAAAGGGCTAAAATTAAACTGAACAGCATTCTATATAATGCTACATTCCCAAATTAAGAAAGGAGAGTTCACATATATAACTAAATGTTAAGTATTGAGAATTGGCTGAAATTCTACATACTTCACGGTAAATATGCATGAAAGTTTAATTGCATAAACTTCCTGAGTGGCTCCCATGCTGCATTAGGTCTACATGCTTACTATTTTTATTAAACAAATTACAGCTTTAAGTAACTGAGCATGACAGACCTTCAGCTGCACTTTCTCATCAATCACTATATCCACTGTATCTGCTGAGGGGTCTGGGCTACAAATCTCAATCTTAAATCTGAAATTATATCAAAAGAAATACAATGTAAAAAAGCTAGAAGGGTGACTAGTGCACATCTTAGAGCATTGTCCCTTCAAAGCTTAGTCCTTCCCTCGCCCTCTTGCCTGACTTCTGCTTTGTAACAGTCTGCATTGTTATACTTCAGAGAAAACCTTCCAGAATCTGAGCTGTTGATGTGTACACTCTTTCAACCATCTTAGTGGAAAAGAACTTTAACCTGGTTACTACTTTGGGCCCATTTACATTAGTCATCAAGGTCCCTGGATCAATGTTTGAATTTATCCTTCATACACACAAAAAGACTATTTCCAGGGTGGCCTGAGAATAAGGCTCCATATAAACCGCATACTAATTTTACTTAGAAGAATATTTTACTATGTTTGAGTGTTTTCATTTTGTAATCTGGATTAGATTTTAAAAATTTAACCCTAGAATTATAGTTACCAAATCAAAAGCCTTTTCTATACATACAAACCTTTCTATTACATCTTCTAAAGAAAGGGAGGCAAAATAAGTCCCTGGTAAACTACCAATAAAAAAACCAACCAAACATTCTATTCTAGAAAATGGCTTGCATACCACCTCAGAAGGCTCAGATTTTTCTTAATCAAACAGAACATGAGGTAACTGAATTGATGGCAAATATACCTCAGAAATGTACTTAGAAACGATGACTGAAATACAGCATTTACTAGTATTAAAAATGTACTGTTACATGGTAAACATGTGAAACAGGAAATATCCAGTTACAAACATTTGCTGGGTTCTTTTAAAAGGAGGAAAAGGGAATGTATTATTTTTAATGCTTAGAAAATACAGCAAAGAGAGTCAACTCCATAAACTACAGGGATTAGATAAACAACTATCTAAACCCTTACTACCAACTATGAAATGCATTCTACCATTTCAAGATAACAAACCATCACTGTAAATACCAGGCAATATTTTGAAGATGGGTCTAGGAGGTCAAGTATTTCACTGTAGTAGTTAAAGCAATTTCAACCCATAGCCCTTTAGAAACTGAGATGAGAAAGCATTCTCAGGCACTGGGACTATCTCACTTCAATACATTTGAAACATTTGTTTATTTGAAAACAAACTCCCACCACTAAGTCTTATATTGCCACCAATTTGATTTCTCTCTTTGCTTTCCATCCCCAAATCCCCTAACTTTATAACACTTGGGTATATGGCTCTCATCACTTAAACGCAGACTGGTGGCAGAATGATGGCTCCTCTCATCTCACATGCATGGTGAGTGCTAGGACGAAAAGGCAAGTCAGATTGAGCATCTAAACAACATAAAGAATCAAAGCAAAAGAGCAAGTTTCACAGGCAACATTTACTTGTGCACCTAAAACAGTACTGAAAAACGAGGTAGATAAACAAAAGTAACTGGACTGCAATTAAATCTGGGGTCTTCAGATGACAAACGTTCCATTATAACTTTAGAAAAACACTCTACACTCAACCCAAAAATCACAGCGGAAGTGCCTTTTAAACTTTCACAGTTAAGTTTTCCTGTCAAACTATTAGAACATATGCTTGATATGAAGCAAGGAAGAGATGAAAAACTGCAGGATTATTTGTTAACTTACAGCAAATTACTTTAGATTCAAGACTTCTCCAGGTATATGAAGGGTTTATCTGCACTGAATACACTAGTAATGGTTTCATAGTCTTAGGATGTTACACCCAACTTCACAGACACAATAGCAGTGCTTCATGGTGGAGTACTTGTGTTGCCATACATGAAGACACAATGCTGCTCATCAGATGTGCACTTGGAGAAGTAAACAGAGCGGCTGGACATACAGACTATCTCCCAAGAAAACTTCACAAGACAGTGGTTAAGCACAACCTTTACGTTGATTACAAGAAAGAAAATGAAAAGGTTTGCGTGCTTTCTAGAAATGAACAGAAGGCATGTTATATGTACTAGGCTCTTCGTTAAAGAGAACTTCTGAGCATCATCTGATTCATTATTTATGGGAGAGAAAAAGTACTTCAGGCAAGGACGGAAACAGCACTATTCTAACTAAGCAAAATTAAGAAATAATACAAATCCCCCTCTAGAAAACTAACCAATATTTACAATCAAAGTGACTATAATCCGAATCAAACAAAAAATAAAAAGTAAAGAAAACCCCACAGCAAAGTGAATAACATTGTTTTCTTCATTTCTGCACACTCCCTTTTTTCTGTACGCTTTAACTTCTACACATTACATATACATAATGTATATGTAACATATATGTTAACCCAGATACTGCAGTCAGCATGGAGACAGCAGTACACTATTCCCCATCTTCAAACTTTAGAAGATGACTTTTCTTTCCAGCAAAACCTGAAAAGATTCTAAATATTACAAGGCACTGCAAACATCTGCAGGCAAACAATAATGATGAATTATATGTAAAACTGAGATGTTTAACAAAACACAGAACATACTATGTAGAGCAGCCACTAGTAAATGGGATTGTACATGTAACCCGTGGAGTTTTTTTTCATTCTGAGGCACACGGTTTAAAATGATTGCAACTAGAGAAGATCCCATCTTAAAACCTGTAGTATTTCACCTTATAGGTTGTTTATCTCAATATAATTATACGAAACCAACTTATAATGAAACACAGTTTTAAGGAACTATGGGTTTTAGGAGCATAGTTTTTTATACACATGGAAAACACTGCAATGCAAGCAACTGCACTACATTAACATCCTAAAAATCACTTCAACTTGCAAAGCAATACTATAGAAGGGATTTCAGGAATCAGGGCATATAATCCGAACTCATCCAAAACAGGATGTATTAGGAAAAGGAACTGTGGCTCTTCCCAATAGCAATCCACAGAATGCCCCCAGTACCAGTGACAAAAATGTGATGGTGGGTGTGACCTTTAGGTGAGTAATAGAAGACAACTTCTTAAAAAGTGTACCCACAAAGTGTACTGTATGAAATAAAAAGAAAAGTTCTTCTAGCTTTCCGGAAAGGCCATGGGGGTAAGTTTTTTTTAGAGGAACATGGAGGAAAATCCGTTAAAGAAACACTGAACACAATTTGGAAAGGTTACCAGGAGAATTCTTAAATAGAAAAACGTATTAGAAACGACTTTCAAAGCTTCAGTGAATGTTAAGTCACTTGAACATGTGTACTTAGTAGCTGATAATATAGCATGTAAAAATTCTATTTGGGTTTCACAGACTGACTATTAGGTAACCCTGTGACTAGCCTTTAAGATTACTGAAGTTAACCTTCCTAAAAACCAAAGGCATACATTTTTACACTGCCTCCTTTCCTCCTAAAACTGGATAAAACCCAGTAAAGTGCAACTTGACAGTGAATTCTCTCAAATTTTCAAGAGGCTGATAAACACATCTAACATCTAAAATGGTCTAAGACTTTAGATACTAGTAAGAAATTATAACAACCAAAAAACTGTCATCAAAAAAGGTTAAAGGCAATTTAAATAATATCATCCTAGGGTGTACTATTTCACTGCAGGATGGTGTGTGTCCTACATTTCTTAGAACCCTGTAAAGCCAGTGTTTTATGTAAAAGTCTCAAAAGCTACAAACCCTAATGTGTCAAGTACATTTCACTTTAGAAGAATGGACTGACAGAAGTGTTAACCTGAATCTCCTTGTTTAGGATTACAAGGATTACCCCAAATGAGATTCACATCAGCTGCAATACCTAGCAAAAGAATGCAAGCCAAGTCATTGCCTCTCAGATGCTCAAAACCAAAGCAGTGTGCACAGGAGAAAAAATGGCTGCTTTGTGTTATCACTGGAACCCAAAAGCAGCTCTAGTAGCTGTAGGTTCAAGGAACTGTTACAGTTCTGTTTTTTTCTTTCCCTCCGCCTCACCTAAAACAACCCCTCACTCCTACTGCTGTGATGACGGGAAGAAAATCACATTAAAAACACTCATGTTCTGTACTGCTTGACAAAAGTATACTAAAGTTATACATCAAAACATTTCCTGCAGCCAGTTACTTACTGCCTTCTGTGAAAAGTAAACCCAAGACAGTTGTGACAAATCCCACAAGACTGGCGATTGGAGAGTCTTACCTCATCCACATTTGGGGAGAACCAATCTACAGTTTTTACACACTTTAAAGAAAAGTATTATACAACTGCTGGTAGCAGCATAAAAAAGTGGGGCGAGAGCTTCTCAGCAACACATGAAAGTGTCCTGGAAATGGTAACACTCAAACCGAGCTTATTAAAGCATTCTGAACAGTATTTTTTAAAAATCAAGTATCAAAGAGGATAGGATTTGAAGTGAAAAACATTTCTGTGTGCAGTATTCTATGTGCAAAGCACACATTACTACAGAATGATGAGCTCTACCAAATATCACATTGGAATAACAAAAAACACAGTTGAAAGTGGGCTCAAATGAGAGAAAATATGGCAGAACTCAAGAAGAAAGTTTAGTATCACAGGTGTTTGATGAAAGTCCTCTCCCCTTGTTTCAGCATCTATTTGGATTCACTTAGGACCAGGAGGGATTGATGCCGGATTCTGCATTGGTGAAGCTGGAAATGCCTGCAAATTCATCCCGGGTTGGAAGAGTCCCCCAGATTGGGCAGGAACCACTACAGACTGCTGTGCTGTTCCTGAAATTCCTACCCACTGTACTGGATACCCCGTGGCCCCTACGGCATTATACTGACAAACATGGGGCATTCCATATGATGATAATGGCCCAGGAAATGAAGGGAGTGGGAGTCCTTGTGGTAAGGAAGTTGGGACAGCGCCACGAATTTGGGAGAGAGAAGATATCCATGTTGATGTGTAGCCCATAGTAGATGGAGTATTCTAACAAAAAACAAAAACAAACATAAAAAAAATCAGTTCATTTGGCATATTGTTTATCAGTCTATAGTCCTATTTTTTTAAGGCTCACTACTTCCACTATTATACTGAGTGGAGCACCTTTCTATGAGTTATGCAGTGGTAACATTCTTTACCTCAGCTCATTTTTAACTGCCCTGCCTTGCAGTATAGGCATTTTCAGATGAGGAAACAGAAACTAAAATTGCTAAGTAGTTCAAAACCACCAAACAAGTTAACAGTGACACAGGGACTTCAACACTGTTTCAAATAACTCTAAGGCCCATATTCACTCCCTTCACACTTTAGTCCCTACTTTACGTATGATAGTACTATTCTTTTGCTTTTACTTCATTTTTTTCCATCCATTAATGTGCTTTCACTGCAGGCATGAATGAAAATAGCCCATCTTACCTACATGATTCTCTGGACACAGAGGAATACAGTTAGTGTAACAAGGGGACCTGACATACAGCAGATGTTCAATAAAACTCTCTTTCTTGTTCCCTTCTAACTATCTTGAAATCTGACACTTCTGTTATTTTTTAAAGGGATATTTTATCTATCTATCTATCTATCTATCTATCTATCTATCTACCTATACAATATTCTGTCTGTGTGTATGTCTGCAGGCCAGAAGAGGGCACCAGACCCCATTACAGATGGTTGTGAGCCACCATGTGGTTGCTGGGAATTGAACCCAGGACCTGTGGAAGAACAGACAATGCTCTTAACCACTGAGCCATCTCTCCAGCCCTATTTTTATTTTATTTTGTGTGCATGGGTGTTTTGTTTGCATATGTATATGTGGAAGAAGAGGGCATTGGATGCCCTGGAACTGGAGTTAACAGACAAGTGAGCAGCCATGTGGGTATGGGGAATCAAATCTGTTTTCTGAAAGAGCAGCCAGTGTTATTAACCACTGAATCATCTCTCTAGCCCTTCTGTTATATGCTTATACATTTACTTTTATTTTTGTGTGTGTACATGCATGTAGGCGTATGTGCATATGGAGGCAAGAGGTCCATTTTGGGTGTAGTTCCTCAGGATAACTTGTTTTCTGAGAAAGACTCTCTCATAGGCCTGAAGCTCACTAAGTAGGCAAGGCTGGCTAGCTAGCAATCCCCAACAACTCAACTGACTCTGCCTCCCAGGGCTGAGAGTTATGCATGTATCACAAACCCAGCTTTTTCATATAGGCTCAGGTCCTCGTACTTGCACGGTAAGTAGTTTATTAGTTAAGCTATCTTCCCAGCCCCCCCCCCAACCAATTCTAAATTTAAACTGAAAACAGACAACTGTGCTTTGGGCAGTACTGAAAGATATATTCCTGCCTTGCCGGCTACTCTTAACATTATGCTGTGATTAAATACATGTGTAGAGATTATAATATATTCTTAATACACATAGGAATAATTCCAATAAATGTAAATAATTCTAGTAGCAGCCTCAAATTCTTAGTTCTACACTGAATTACCAAGCTAGAACTAAACTTTGAATTAAACTTTTGTTAGAAACTTTCAATGTAAGTTAGGATAAAAGTTTTTAGTTTGACCTGAAAATGAATGGCAAAATTATATTGAGTTGCACAAAATATTTTATTTAAAGTTCAGCAATTCCTTCTTATCAGTATTTTCTTTCTGTTAAAGTAAAATTAAATTTAGTGCTTTTGATTCAAAACAGCAATATAGTATGATCACACTTGAATAAACTTATTTATGCACATCTATGTATTCATAAAGAAAATTATCTGACCTCTAATATTTATAGAAGGAGATGACCATTTCTGGGTGGTGGGATTTGAAAGTGGTATTTTAAAATTCATACTTTTTTCCATTGGTTAAGTTATGTAATGAATAGTATTGTCCTAAAAACAGTGGTTATGGTTTTTTTTTTAATTTTTTTTTTCTGATTTTTCGAGACAGGGTTTCTCTGTAGCTTTTTGGTTCCTGTCCTAGAACTAGCTCTTGTAGACCAGGCCGGCCTCGAACTCCCAGAGATCCGCCTGCCTCTGCCTCCCGAGTGCTGGGATTAAAGGCATGCGCCACCACTGCCTGGCGGTTATGGTTTTTTAAAGACTGTATTAAAGAAGTTATAAGTCTACTCATTTATTTATTTATTTATTTATTTATTTATTTATTTATTTATTTTGGTTTTTTGAGACAAGGTTTCTCTGTAGCTTTGGAGCCTGTCCTGGAACTAGCTCTTGTAGACCAGGCTGGTCTCAAACTCACAGAGATCCGCCTGCCTCTGCCTCCTGAGTGCTGGGATTAAAGGCGTGCGCCACCACCACCTGGCTATAAAGTCTACTCTTGAATATTCCTCAGATATCTCTGATTCAAGTGCCCAAACAAATAGACAATCTTCCCCTACCAAAACCCATTATCTGTTCATGTATGCCATTTCAGTGATCAGCAGCCACTATCAACCAAGTCATACAGTCATTCAAGTGCCAAATCTTGTCTATTCTTTCTTAAACGCATCTGTTCAATTCAACTTTTCATCAACTAGACTAGTATGAGTAACTCCTGACTTGCCAGAAAACGTTGACCCTAATCCTACCAAAGTCTGTCTTCTTGCTTCAGTCAGTGCTCGTCTCAAAAGAAATGATAATTCAAATGCGCTCCTATTAAAGACCTGGGGCATCATAACTATCCATTCTTCTTTAAAAAAACCACAGCATTCCTCAGCACTACCACATCTGAGAAGCCATCTACTCTTTCGAGTATGTTCATTACTCTCTGCTTTCTTTCTTTCAGCCAGACTGAATTACTTTCAGTCTTTTCACATCTCTTTCTTCACATCAGGCTTTTGTATTTGCTTAGGCAGGAACTAAGTTAACTCCTACTCTCTAGATCTCAGTCAATTTTCACTTGATAAAGGAAGCTTTCCTTAACCACTTACAATTGCATGTGGTGGTCAGAGGGCAACTTGTTGGGGTCAGTTTGCTCTTTCTACCATGTGGGTTCTGGGAACTGAACTTAGGTAGTCAGGCTTGCTGACAAGTGCCTTTACCCACTGGACCATCTGGCTAGCCCTCATTGACCACTTTTTAGAAGATTAAATTTCCCTTATTTAACGATATCTCCCTATACCTTTCTTTGTAATTTTATAATTGCAGTTTAATACTTATTTATGGTTTATTTGCTTTTACTCACTAAACTTGTGTCTAGCAGAGCACTTGGTACACAATAAAGTACTTGATACATGATCATGCAAACAAAAATGTCTAAGTAGGGCTACAGGACATTACTAAGCAAGAGTATTACTTGACCCCTCTACACAAATATATAACCAACCAAATCTAAAATACAAAAATAGTTACCACATATAAGTGACCCCTGTGATGGTTTAACTTTATTGGTGCTATTTAATCTTCGCAATAATCCTGCAAGGATTATCCACATTTGAAATGCAAAAACTCTGAGGCAAAAAAGATATAAAGTCATACAACTAGTAAATGACTGGCTAACATTGGAACCCAAATGTGTTAAAAGATTTTTCTCACTTTTATTTACATATAATTTTCTCCTTACTCTTCTTGCAAACACCTTCCTTTATAATCAATAAACCACCATCCAGCTAATCAACAAAACCTTCCTTCATACAGCACTCAGAGTCTCTCACTGGCAGAACCCATGCATTTATGTCTTGAAATACCTCTGAAGGATCTTAGATTTTATAAGTAATGATAGTATCTGAGCATCAACTGATGCCAGGAATAAGACAAATACATCTCCCAAGCAGATACATTGTTCACTACTTAAGGAAGCCAAAATTTGAAAGTTTCATTCAACATTAAAAATAGATGTACTTTTTTAGGATGTGTCTCGGGCACCAACTAAGGATACTCTTGTCTCCGCCTCCTGAGTGCTGGGACAACAGATGTGCATCATCATGTTTTGTTTAAAGAAGTGTGGTCATTTTCTACCTTTTTTCACAGTGTATGGTACCAAATCCAGGGCTTTTTCCTGTGAGGTAATTGCTCTAACACTAAGCTACAATCTCAGCTCAATAAAACTATTTTAACTATGTTCAATAACTATATCTATTATCAAGTATATACACAAGAATAATATACTCAGAGATATCATCTAATACAGGGGCTGAAATTCTAACACTTAACATTTTAACAGGTTTGCTTACCTTGAAAAAAAATTACTTATTTTAAATATTTGGACACAAAAAAAGCACAAGATAAAATAAGGTCCAAATTCCACCATCCAGCATATTGTTCAGTGATTTTCATCAACATATGCCTAACATGTTTGTCTAAATCATATTATTCTATAACTATTTGATAATCTATCTTCTTCCCACTCTAGAACACACACAGAACTCCCAGATATCACTTATATGTACATCTTATCTTCTATGGTCATGTGTAATAACTGGCATCTTTTCTATAAACTCAATAGATCTGATAATATTTCACCTTCTATGGCCTTAAAATTAATTTTATGAATTAAACAAAGAGAGTTCAGATATCTTATTGGGTTTAAAGAACATTGATGTGTAGCATAGAACATCTCAATACTTAATTCTTGTACCTCTCTCCAGATGAATTCATTCTGAATATTTTGCATTTTTAGAGAGAGAATAGTGCAAAACTAGAGCCAGCAAATTTTGGCCCACCACCTCTTTTTATGTCATGTTTGCTTGTTTTCTAAGCACAGTAAATTGATTTGTTAAGGAAAAATAAGAACTCCTATGAATGGGAGGGGCTTCAAGGAAGGAACATTCCATAAATCAAGAGGTAATACAACAGAGGCACGACCATTTGTTTACATATTTTCTTAGACTGCTTTTGCATTACAATCAAGTTGATTCTTGGAACCCTGTAGCTTGGAAAGTCTAAAATGTTTACTAATTGATTTCTTCATAAAAATTTGGTAACTCGTGGTCTAAAAGATAATTTGCCCAAAGACACAATAAATCTAGATAAGGATCAAAGTCTCAATATCATATTCCATACCATTTTAGAGCACTAATCATGGGCCAAAATCAATTTTTATAGCTTTTAATTTTTATAAAGAGGACAGAGGATAAGAGACTTACTTCATATACTTTGTTCCAGTTTTCTGTCTCTAATTTTTGTTGGCTCTGTTTGAGTTGGTTTAAACTTGGCTTACTAGGAAAATTTCCTACTGTTTCCTTTGTCCAATCATCCACCAACTTGTGTAAATCATCTGTGAACATCCCCTTTTTACTGGCTGAAGATTGTTGGCGTGACGCTGTATTACTCTCCACACATAGAGCATCTACAAGAAAAAAACAAAACAAAACAGGAAAAACTAGGTAAAGGAATTGCAACTGATAATTAGATAACATTCCTATTTTTTAAACATGTAAGTGTGTGTGTGTGTCTGTGTGTTGTATATGTGTTGTGTATGTGTGTGTGTAGGTCACAGGACAATCTGCAAAAGTGACTTATCTGCTTCTACTATGTGGATTCCAAGGATCAAACTCTGGTTATCGGCTTAGGGGCAAGTTACTTTGCCTGCTGAGCCATTTCCTGACCCAAGAGATGGTTCAGTGGTGAACAGCACTGGACCTGGATTTGATTAGAAACATCTACATGATGACTCACAGTGTCTCTAACTCCAGTTTCAGGGAATTTTGTGCCTTCTTCTGGCCTCCACAGGCACCAGCCAGGCATGTGATACACAAACATACGTGCAGACAAAACACTCATATACATAAAATAAAAATAAATTTACAAATCAAAATTAAGGGGGCTGGAGAGATGGCTCAGAGGTTAAGAGCATTGTCTGCTCTCCCAAAGGTCCTGAGTTCAATTCCCAGCAACCATATGGTGGCTCACAATCATCTGTAATGGGGTCTGGTGCCCTCTTCTGGCCTGCAGGCATACACACAAAATTAAGAAATAAAAGCAAACAAGCAAATATATGGCAAGAAGACAATGAAATAGAATCAAAATGCTGAAAAACTATCAAGCAAGAAGACCGTACTTTCAAAAAGGAAGGGGATCCACTCAGACAGCACTACACTGCAAATTAATGAAGGAGATTGCCTATTTTTCATAATGGCAGACAATATGCTACACATGTAGGTAGAGATGATTTAGAGGAATGAGTACCAGTTTCCTGAAGGTGAATCTTAACCTATGAAGAAAAAGGAAGAGTGTCTTATAATAACTGTGGGTATGGAGCTGGAGAGAAGGCTCAGCAGTTAAGAGCACTGCCTACTTTTTCAAATGTTCTGTGTTCAATTCCCCCAGCAACCATGTGGTGGCTCACAACCATCTGTAATGGTGTCTTCTTCTGGCCTGAAGGTATGCATGCAGGCAGAACACTGTATACTTAATAAATAAATCTTTTTTTTAAAGTATGTGTATGTAGTAGAGTTAATGACGATCAAACTGTATGACATTTTTGGAGGACCAACTAAATCAGTTTTAAGATTTCAAAGGGTTATAAAGTTGGTTCCATGTATGAAATAAAACATGAATAAAAAAGTAAATGTTATTAAGTTCTAAAGACAAAACTATGAAATCTCTGTTTTTACTTTACCCTTTCTTATTTCAGAAACCTAATGCTATAATTGAGGGAAAACTGAAATAAACCCTTTAGCATATTTGGTATTAGTTGAAGTATTTTTAAAGGTCACAGTTGACCAAATATTACTAATTCCACTACAGATGATACCTTAGATATATGGACTATACAGATTAATAGCTGCCTAACTTCCTTTTTAGGGACATGAAGCACACTTTACCCTTGGGTCTGCAAAGTTCAATAATATTCATATTTTGCTATTGTTTTTAGTGAGCAAACTATGAATTCATTTCATATTACCCAAACAATACTTAATAAAAAATTGGACATCCTGTGATAGCACAAATAACTGCTCAGTTATTATACAATACTGACTTTTCTCTGTATCATATGTTCTCATGTGAAAAAATGATTCCACATTGAAAAGGACATTTGCATTCTGAGAAAAATAAAACAATCAACATTGAGAAGCATTCATAATTTTATCTGTCATCTTTTTACCTTAGCCTTTGGGTTAGATTTGTGTTACTTCTTTAAGGAGTGCCTGTGCCAGACTGGTAGCACAAGGTTGATTTGCCTTGAAAAAAAAAAAAACCCAACAGCTCCCCTGCCCTTTCAAGGTTGAAGACACTAAGGTAAGAGTAACTAAGAATTTCAAAGACAAAAAGTTCTTCTGGACTGGACCTTGTGGTTCTGCATAACAGCCACTAAATGTTTCACTTTCCATTCCAAAACAATGGAGAAGAGCTTTGAAATCTTTAGCTATCAATCTATTCCTATCACACCTCCCTTTTCCCTCCTGCTTAAGGATAAAAGGAACTTAAAACTTACAGGGAGTTAAGATGAATTTCCTCTCAGGCACTGGTGACTAAGTAATTTTTCTTTCCTTAGTAACTTGTCCTCTACTCATTGTGCCCCTTTCAAGTGGTGAATAAATGTACTTGAGTTCATTAATGATGTGTGGAATCAAAAACAAAATTTTTGTTGTGCAAAGGCATTAAAGATGGGAACATGGTTAATTCGTGGAAACACTAAAAAAGACACACTTTCAGTGCTTATTTTGATGACTAGTTATTTTTCAAGGTATATTTTTATTATTTTAAATTATGTGTATGTGTGTGTCTGTATGAGTGCAGGTGCCTGAGGAGTTGGAGTTACAGGCAGTCATGAGCCACCTAACATGGGCGCTGGCAACTGAACGTGGGTCCTTGTAAGAGCAGAAAGTTCCCTTAACTGCTGAGCCATTTCTCTAGCCCCTGATAACTAGTTATTCTTGCTGACTGAATACCCCATAATTTAAATTTCCATTTAACCAACCATTTATAGAGTAAGATCTTTCTTTTTTTTAATATTTATTTATTATGTATACAATATTCTGTCTGTGTGTATGCCTGCAGGCCAGAAGAGGGCACCAGACCCCATTATAGATGGTTGTGAGCTACCATGTGGTTGCTGGAAATTGAACTCAGGACCTTTGGAAGAGCAGGCAATGCTCTTAACCTCTGAGCCATCTCTCCAGCCCAGTAAGATCTTTCTTGAATATAAGATTTTTTAATTTAAAATTTCAAAAAACTTTACAAATACCTCACATTTATGTCTATTTGTTTTGTGCCTCAGCAAGATTAATGGAGAATATTTGTGGGAACAGAGGTTTAGAGCAATCTCTTGGAAGCTGGTAGCACACAACTAAAGGTTGGGGAGTCGCCCTCTCTTAGAAAGGACATCAATAGAGGTAAAGGATAGGCCCGTGAGGACCTCTTCCTTGACTGACTGTTCATAGGGCTGCTCTTGGGTGGTCCCAGTGAAAGTAAGCTAACCATTACAATGGTTGTAGAAAGTCTAGGGAATAGTGTTTTATAGCCCTTTACCCTATCTTTTGTTTCTTTTTCCAGCCCCTCTTCCATAACATTCCCTGAGCTACAGAGTGGGTGGTATAACTGTACACCATGATTTTGATTTCTGTTCTTATTAAAGAATGAAATCTATTGTTTTAGATTATTTCCCAAAATCCTTGAAACTTTGAGTCCAGATGATAGGAAATCATTTACAAAAAAAATGATTTTTTTCATTTTATATTTTGAGGATCCTTACATAATAATATTATTCATTAATTCATTATAGACACTTATAGGATAACATATTTTATGTCAATTTCATGAGTTTTAAAATCAACTTCATAGCACAAAAGGATTTATCTATTTTTATAGCAGATGAACTTTATTATTTTTTTTAAATATTTATTTATTTATTATGTATACAATGTTCTGTCTGTGTGTATGTCTGCAGGCCAGAAGAGGGCACCAGACCCCATCACAGATGGTTGTGAGCCATCATGTGGTTGCTGGGAATTGAACTCAGGACCTTTGGAAGAGCAGGCAATGCTCTTAACCACTGAGCCATCTCTCCAGCCCCTAACGGATGAACTTTAAATAGCTAATTAATTTAGAATTCTGGTTATAATTGTTTTCTATCTGTTATAAACAAGTAAGGGCATTTAATTCTGGGCCAAAAGGCAAAATATAAAGAGTTACAGCTATTTCTAGAAGCTGGAGGCTGTCAAAGCAGTGATACACATAAATTAGAACTCTAAAATATTTCCTTTTGATTGCCCAAGCAAAACACGAACATGTTTTTTATGTTATGTTTTGAGGCAAAGAGAAAAGCAACTATAAGTTGAATTATAATTGGTCCTTTTAATAGTCTTTGAATCCAAAGCATTTTTCTATAACCTGCGTTGTAAAACAAATCCTACAAATTGAAACTATGGAAAAAATTGAATTGCTAACATAGTTGCCTTGTAAAAATTAATAAATGAAGTCCTTTATAATGAAAAAAAGTTGGCAATGCAGTAAAAATATATGTGAAGAAACAAAAAACTGCATTAGTAAATATAATATTCTGTTTAAGTGTACTTTGTGCTTATATCTATCTTATTCTCTCATCTGATTGCAAAGATGACTACAAAAAGCAATAATTACACAAATTTGTTGATTTGCTTATCATATGTAAAAATGTAATGTGTAAAAAGAAAGGAAGGCACATACACAGAAGAAAATATATATACCATTGAAATTAAGATAGTGTTATTCTTGAACTAAGAAGCTAATTGCAATCCCCATGGCCACTACAGGAAAATAACTAAAAACATATAATAAAGGATTTAAACATTATAAAAAAATATCTATTTAGGGTTTGGAAACATGGCTCAGCATTTACTGCACAATCATGAAGACTGGAGTTCATAACCCAGCACCCAAGTTAACAAGTCATCCATCCAAACACCTGTGATTCTAGATGTTAGGGAGGCTTGTTAACTTCCAGCCTACCTAAGAAAACAAGAGCCCAAGGCTTAGGGAGGGACTGTACCTCAGAGGAGTAAGGCACACACACACTCTCTCAAATCAATCTTTTAAGAATGCAAGTTTAGAGGCTGGAGAGATGGCTCAGTGGTTGAGAGCACTGACTGCTCTTCCAGAGGTCCTGAGTCATCAGGACCACCTGATGAGATCTGGCGCCCTCTTCTGGCCTGCAGGCATGCATGCAGACAGAACACTGTATACATAATAAATACATAAATTAAAAAAAAGAAACATCACACACACACACACACACACAAAAGAATGCAAGTTTAACACAAAGGCAAGCAGGAATCAAAGAAGAACAAAAAGGTCATTAGATATGAAAAACAAATAGCAAAATAAAAAGTAGAAATGATTCTTAGTTTATAATTAAATTATATTGGAATGGTTTAAATAACCCCTTTATAAAAAACAAAGGCTGACAGAGTAGATAAAAAACATGATCTAACTGTATAATGATGTCCATAATAAATATTGTTCAGATTAAAAGTATAAAAGGCCAGGGAAGGTGGCTCAGTGGGTGAAGGCAATTGCTGCCAAACCTGACAACTTGATTTCCAGAGCCAACTCCCATAACTTGTCTTGACATCCAGATGCAAGCTGTGGCACATACTCAGACATACACAAGCACATATATAGAGACACACAAAAAAAATAAAATTTTTAAAAAATACATTAAAAGAATGGAGTGGTGCAACATGTAAGTAGTAAACTAAAGAAAGCTGATTGCTTATATTCATATCAGAAATATATACTAATATCAAAAGGTAAAATAATCACAAGCACATGCAGCAGAGTTCCAAAATAGATGACACACAGTTTATAGAATTGAAGCCAGGCGGTGGTGGTGCACACCTTTAATCCCAGCATTCAGGAGGCAGAGGCAGGCGAGTCTCTCTGAGTTCAAGGCCAGCCTGGTCTACAGGGCAAGTTCCAGGAGTTCCAGGATAGCCAGGGCTACACAGAGAAATCCTGTGTCAAACAAACAAACAAACAAACAAACTATATATATATATATATATATATATATTTGAAAAGTTTAACAACAGGTAGAAACTACTAAAATCCACTTTATATAATTGAAATAATAAGCAAAATTCAAATAAAGGTCATGTTTGGGCACAGGAAAAAACATTTGGGTAAACTAGGGGCTAAGCTTACTGATAGAGCACTTGCCTCGAGTGTGCAAGTCCTGTGGTTCAATCTTCAGCATGATACAGAATAAGAAAAAGAATATCATAGAGTGCCTCTCCTATAGTCCTAGCAACTTCAGAGGCAGAGGTAGAGGGATAATTTGAGCCCTGACAAGGCTGGAAATTATAGAGAGAATTCATCTCTAAACAAATGAACAAAACAAGTGTGTAAACAAGCATAGCATTTCAGAACAAAATGAAGTCTAACTATAAATGCCATAACATCAGACTAAAGGTTATGACTTCCCGATACTGAATCTCCAAAGCTGTTTTCAATCCTAATCTACCCTTCAATTCTATTTTTATCAGGCGCATCCTATAGCTCAATGTAGTGTGGCCTCAAACTCAACCAACTTCCTGCTTCAATCTCCCTGTGCTGGGGCTAGAGGTATATACTACCATACATGACTAGTTTTCCATCACTTCATTTTCTTTACACCTGAATAAAATTCCACTGAATGGTGCTCCACATTTTCTTTATCCATTTATCTGTTGATGGACATCTAGGCTAGTTCTACTTCTTCACTATTCTGAATAGTATACAATAAAAATAGAAGCACAAGTTATGTGGTACGTTGACCTTCATTATGTATCTGGAACCAAAGAAATCCAACCCGAGGAGTAATTTCTTTATTTGTTAAATAGATAGAGACTAGTTTCCCGAAGTTAAAGAAATAACATTTTAGGGGCTGGAGAGACAGCCTCACAATTGAGAACACTTGTTGATCTTTTGGAAGACCTGAGCTTGCTTCCTAGCACCCATATGATGGTTCACAATTATCCTTAACTCCAGTTTCAGAAGATTTGGCATTGTCTTCTGACCTCCATGGGTACTAGGCACATAGTGTGGTACATATACATATATGCAGGCAAACATTCATATACATAAAATATAAATAAATAAATCTTTAAAAAAGAAATGGATTTTTGGGGGCCTGGAAAGATGGCTCAGCTGTTAGGAGTACTGGCTACTCTACTAGAGGACCCTGGTTCAACTCCCGACACCCACATGGCAGCTCACAACTGTCTGTAATTCCAGTTCCAGGGAGGTTGGATAGAGGAGCAAGGAAGCACATAACTGAATTAAGGGAGCCACCTTAGGGTTGGCAAGAGACTTGAACCTAGAGTGGCTCCCAGATACCCAAGCCGAGGTCCCCAGTTAGTTCCTTGGGCAGATGAGGATAGGGAACCTGAAATGACCCTATCCAATAGCAATACTGACGAATATCTTGCATATCACCATAGAACCTTCATCTGGTGATGGATAGAGATAGAGACAGAGACCCACACAGGAGCACTGGACTGTACTCCCAAGGTCCCAATGAGGAGCAGAAGGAGGGAGAACATGAGCAAAGAAGTCGGGACCACGAGGGATGCACCCACCCACTGAGACAGTGGAGCTGATCTATTGAGAGCTCACCAAGACCAGCTGGACTGTGACTGAAAAAGCATGGGATAAAACTGGACTCTCTGAACATGGCGAACTATGAGGGCTGATGAGACGCAAAGGACAATGGCACGGGGGTTTGATCCTACGTAATGTGATGGCTTTGTGGGAGCCCAGCCAGTTTGGATGTTCACCTTCCTAGATATGGACGGAGGTGGGAGGTCCTAGGTCTTACCACAGGGCAGAAAACCCTGACTGGTCTTTGGACTGGAGAGGGAGGAGGAAAGAAGTGGGGGGAGGGGGAGAAGGGTGGGAGGAGGGGGCGTAGGGGGGAGGAGGGGGAGGGAAATGGGAGGCTGGGAGGAGGTGGAAACTTGTTTTTTTTTTCAATAAAAAAAATGGATTCAAAAAAAAATAAATTAAAAAAATAAAAAAGAAATGGATTTTTCTAATATTCTTAATAATAATATATAAAGGTTCTGGAGAGATTGTTTAGTGGTTGAGAGTGCTTGGTGATGTTACAGAAGAGTTCAGTTCCCGGCACCCATGTCAGGTGGCTCACAACTGCCTGTAACTCCAGAAGATCCGATGCTCTTTTATGGCCTACCCACGCTCGCTCGTGCTCTCTCTCTCTTTCTACCTCTCTCTCTCTGTCCCTCTGTCTCTCTCTGTCTGTGTCTTTAAAAAGTAATATATAAAGATCTCTTGCTTCAGATCAACATGGAAGTATTTCAAAGTTTACCTGCACGATCAACAAACTTCTATACTAACTCTCAATATAAGAATAGCATTTCTAACTAACTGGAGCATTTTGGAAACTATTTAGAGTAGATACTGAAGTTCCACCTGTTTGTTTTCCAAATATAAACATAAAAAACTTCGTTATTCTCCAAATTCCATCAATTATACTAATTATTTAACTAAAAAACATTTAGTACCAAAAACATAGGAATATTTTAGATCAATGTGTACAATATTAAATTATTTCAGCCTAATAAAAAGCAACTTGTACTATCACTGTTTTTCTAATTTTGCTGTTCAGATTTTATTTTTCTTGAGACAGGTTCTTCTGTTCACACCAGACGAGATTTGAAGTCATCATCATCTTGCCGCAGTCTCCTGAGTGCTTCAACTACAGGCATGCTACACACTATGTCGAGATCTGATTAGTTTTGAAAAACAATTATGCTTTAAAAAAACACAAAAAAACCCAATTATGCTTATGATTGGTTTATCTTTTACAACAACTAAAATGATTATGTTTATGATTGGTTTACCTTTTACAACAATGACATTGTCTGAATGTGTCAAAGATTGAGGGCGGCTTCGGAGTTTACTTTTGAAAGATCTTGGCCGACGTGGTGAAGCAGGTGATGAAGGAATCTCTGAAGATTGCACTTTGCTATCTTTAGTTGCTCGAAGGCGTTGATAGAGCTCCTGCAGCTCTTTATTCTGCTGTGTTTGAAGATTGACCACCTCCTGAATGTGTCTGAATAAAAATTATGTAGAAAATATTTGAATAATTTTGGTGCCATAAAAAGAAACTCAGGAACTTTGTAATGGTATAAATAAAACTTAACAAAACATTAATATTAAAAATGATGGAATGCAGAGTATTTTTTGTTTTTTTTTTGAGACAGGGTTTTTCTGTATATCTCTGGCTGTCCTAGAACTCACTCTATAGACCAGGTTGGCCTTGAACTCACAAAGATCCACTTGCCTCTGCCTCCTAAATCCTGGGATTAAAGGTATGCACCACCTCTGGCATCCCCCAGCTCAAATTTTTTTTTTGATACAAGACATCACTATATAATATTGGCTAGTTTGGAATTCAACACATTAGCCTCTACCTCCCAGGAGCTGGGATTACGGGCATGAGCAACCAAGCCTGACATCGAATACAATCTTAGCAATTATCTGTAAACTTCAAGAATACAGACCTTTTGCTGTGTGGTGGTGGTGCACACCTCTAATCCCAGCACTTGGGAAGCAGAGGCAAGTGGACCTCTGGGAGTTTGAGGATAGCCTGGTCTACAGAGCGGATTCCAGAACAGGTAGGGCGGTTACACAGAGACACCCTGACTCAAAAAAACAAACAAACAAACAAATACAGACCTTTTAATTGTATTCCACAGAAATCTCTCTGTGTGTAAAAAGATAAGCATATTTATATAATTAAATATGGAGAACACTGAAATATCTCTCAAGAAAGGATCAAATAAACTTGGATACATTCATACATTGGAACTGCATGCAGTGATATTTTAAAGGTAGATTTACACAGATATGAACATTTATAGACATCTTAAAGTAAAAAAATTATAAAATAGCATGATTGTTTTTTACTTTATTTTTATAAAGGACAGAAAAAGAACCAGCAAGATATATCCCAAACAGCTCATAGTGAGGCATAGCATGAGAAGTACAAAGGGTCTTTTGGTTTGCTTTCTCATTACTTTATTTGAACATTATCCTATGTATCACTTCCTTTGAGACAGGTTCTCACTATGTAACCTTGTTGGCCTGGAATTCACTATATAGACCAGACTGAACTTGAACACACACAAAAAAATTGCCTTCTGAGTACTGGGATTACAAGTCTGTGTCACCAGGACTGGCCTTTATTTTTAAAATTTAACTTTTAAAATACAAACCCCCACATCTATAGATTATTCAAACTAATTTGAGCAAAATAATCTCAGCTTACTTTTATTGGTCTATAGTATCTACCAATTGTCTAGTAAAATATTATGAACAACCCATAACAAAAGAACACTAATGGGCTGGGGATGTAATCCAGGGGTTAGTGAGATAGAAGAGGAGAATGGGCACTCATTCCCTTAGCCACTGGGCAGGCTTTTAAACTCTATTAAAAATCTGTTAAAGTAGCTACTATTAGTGTTATTGATAAATTACGTTCCTATTCTAAGCACTCCTTCTGATGTTCATTTTCCTATTAAAAAAAAAATCCCAGTTACTAGGCGACTATGCAATTTGACTCCCTAACTAGTAGCTTTTGGACGCTTCCTTGCTGCCCTGGTTGCTTTGAGTACAAAGACTGTCAGTCAGCCAACTGGACAATTCTTATGCGAACACCAGCAGTTTTGAACACCCCACAGATGCCTTGAGAAAACTACACAATGAACTCAGCTGATTGTTTTAGTTCCTAGGGGTTCAGTCTTAACAAGGACTGTTCCAGCGTGTACTCAACTTTTAGCTATCAAAAGCCTTGCAAAACTCTAGAAAACTCTGCAAACATTTTCATCCTCTCCTGCAAGGCCAGAAGCAGATGAAACTTTTGGTGGCCTACCAGAGAGACTACTGTGGCTGTGGCTAAAGGGATAGTGCTGTGAAAGATACACTGTGGTTGGTCCAAACACTCCCGCGGCTTTATAAGCAGGTCTTGTGCTGGCTTTTCTGGTGTAACATTAGGCCCAATACAAAGCTGCTTCTCCTGGGTGGTCTTGCCTACTTTCAGTAGTGTAGGCAGAGCTGGTAAACACAAAGAAAACAGCAGAGACAACAGAGGCAATGAGAGTTGAACAGTCTGCATGCCTAAACTATGAAAGTGGCGATGCAGCTGTCTACTTGACAGCTGAAGAAGAGAGAGTTTGGTTGTCAGCAGGCTGAGCTTCAAAATAAGCAAGGTACAGCTGCTTGACTGTTGAAGAAGAGGTAGCTCAATAGTTTGAGAGAGGGGCCAGGCAGGAACTAAAGGGATAGTGAAGTTGAAAGGAAAGAGAGTTGTGGGTGAAAAAAAAGGATTGAAGGCAATAAAAAGCCAGAGAAAAGTAACTGCTGGTCCTGGTCATTGGAAGAATTCCAGACAGCTGTCAAACTTGAGCATGGAGGGTTTCAGACTGGCCATTGCCAGGGCCCGAGGAATCCTGATACCTGCGGCTGCCTATCCATTGTAATGCCAGCTGCTGCAAGGACTACGAATCCCAACTTCCTGGCCTTATGTAAGAACTCTAGCACTTTCAGAGCTGTCTTGCTACTAGGTCTGCACCAGAGCTGTCAATGGCATGGAACTTGCTATGTAGAACAGGCTAGTCTCAACTTAAAGAGATCCACCTGCCTCTGCAACCCAAGTGCTGGAATTAAAGCATGAAATACCACACCTGGTCCTATTTGGGGCTGATTTTTTAAAAAAAGATTTTTTTTTAATTTATGGGTGTGTTTGTATGAATATATGGCACAAATATGTAGGCCATCAGAACTCCTAGAGTTGCAGTTACAGGTAGTTGTGAGTCACCTGATATGGATACTGGGAACTGAAGAACAGGAAGTACTCTTAACTACTGAGTCATCTCTCAAATCCCAGAATAAAAAGACCCTTTTTGAGAACCTATATTTCATAAACAAAATTAAGTACTCATAACCAACATAGGCAGCTATAAAAGCCAACAGTCTTTTCAAAATGATTTAAAAGATTTATTGCCGGGCGGTGGTGGCGCACGCCTTTAATCTCAGCACTCGGGAGGCAGAGGCAGGCGGATCTCTGTGAGTTCGAGACCAGCCTGGTCTACAAGAGCTAGTTCCAGGACAGGCTCCAAAACCACAGAGAAACCCTGTCTCGAAAAACCAAAAAAAAAAAAAGATTTATTAAATTCTTATAATCAGAAGGCTGAGGCAGTTCAGTGTTTGCAAACTTGAGGCCAGCCTGAGCTAAATGGCAAGACCATATTTCAGACAATAACAATATTCCATAAAACATAAATAGAATACTAACATCACAAATATTAAAGCACTTTAAAAATAAGTATTGTACTATAAAATATCTGTATACATAAACTACACAGTACTGAATATATAGGAAAAATGAAATATATGCAGTGTAATATCAAACATTTATACATGTGTATTTTAGTTAATTTTTAATCTTTTGCTATAGGCCGGGCAGTGGTGGCACACGCCTTTAATCCCAGCACTTGGGAGGCAGAGGCAGGCAGATCTCTGTGAGTTCGAAGCCAGCCTGGTCTACAAGAGCTAGTTCCAGGACAGGCTCCAAAGCTAGAGAAACCCTGTTTCGAAAAACAAAACAAAACAATCTTTTGCTATAAGAATTATTATTATGTATATAGGTGTATGATATATGTTTGTGGTGGCCAGAAGAAAATTTTCAGCAGTTGGGTCTCTTCTTCCACTGTGAATTCTGTGGTTTAAACTCTGCCTGCCAGGCTTGCATGGCACTTTTCAAAGTAGACCATAAATTTTGTAGAGGTGGTAAATATTTTTTGTTGGTGGTGGTAATTTTGTCATTGTTGTGATGGCACCTGCCTGTAATTCCAGCCCTTGGGAGGTTCAGGCAACAGAGTCAGGAGTTCAAGATCTTAAACTTAGCAAGTTTAAGATTAGGCTGGTATATGAAACCAAATACCAAACAAAACAACATTAAAAAAAACCACTCTACATGATAAAACATATTGCTATAATATCATTAGTAAAACTTTATGACCTTATTCACTAAATAATAAGCTTGATCTTAGAAGGATCTTGTATTTTCCTAAAGATGAACTATTCTCTTTGACTATATAAATTAGCTATCTACTAATAAAAGGTAAGAATAGTCATATATTCGTATTCCAAGAGTACTAAAGAACAAGGATTGAAAAACGTATGTATTCATCTTGGCATGTGCCTGTAATACCAGCATGAAGAATGCAGAAGCAGGGGATTACCACAAGTTTGTGGTCAACATGGATTAGCTCCATAGTATATTACAGGCCAGGCAGGCAGAATTGCATAGCGAAACCCTGTCTCAAAAAGCTGGAGAGATAGCTTGCAGTTAAGAGTTCTGGATACTCTTCCAGAGGACCTGAATTCAATTCCCAGCAACCACATAGCAGCTGGCAACTGCTTATTAACTCCAGTTCTAGTGGGATATCCAACAACTTCTTCTGGCTTCCATGGACACTGCACACAAAGGCCGCACAAATGAACATGCAGGCAAAACATCCAAACACATAAAACAATTTTAAAACTAAGATAAAACTATTTTATACGCAATAACTTTAGCATTCCATAAACATTTTAAGGATAATTATGTACATAAATAAATTTATCAGTTTTTAATCACAGAAGTTTTAATCATTAAAATACCACCAATATCCAATTAGCTACAGAGCAAATATTAAGTTCTATAAACTTGTAAACAATTAGATTTGTTACAGAAAAGAGAGCATCCTTACTTTTCTCGTAATCTTTGAAGCTCTACTTTCAAGTCCTCGTCCTCAATTTCTGATTCATCATCACTGCTCATTGGTGATGATGGAGAATAGAAGAGTGAACTCTGTGTTTGAACATAGGCTTGCTCTTTACTGAGTGGTAAATACTGATCACTCTTTGAACCAGATTTTGCCACTGACTTTCCATTACCAGCAAGAGGGGCCGAAAATTCATAAGGCTGTTTCCCAGGAGTCAATTCCTCTGTTTCTTTATCTAACAGTTCAGACCCAGAATGCACACTGATTCCTGTAGTTGAAGTTTCTTCCAAGTTCTTTTCTGTAGTCACTGAAGACACACTGGTTTCACAAGCTGTGCTGAAAGATGAGAAGATGTCACCTTGTTCAGGCTCTCTTTTATCTTCTTTAAAAGTTTCATAAAGAGTTTGTAACTTTCGTGAAGAATCTGACGCTTTAGGAGTGGGCACGGCAGGTTCCACTTCAATCAACTGAGATACTGCAGTTTCAGCAAAGGCTGCTGCTTGTTCACTGGACTGGACTGTTGTTTTCTTGAATGGAGGTCTGTGTTCTTTTCCAAAAGACATCATTTTCACTGACTGCTGCTGAGGAACTGTAATCACCTGAGACAGAAAAAGGTAAACTTGTCTGGTTCTACTTAATCAAAGGGTAAACCTCATGAAGAAATTCATTGTCAAAACACAGCACAGACAAGAAAGGCCAATTTAACATATATAATATTTGGTAATACCAAAACTTATACTGTCACAGTCATTCAGTTGGGGCCTTTGGATAGAATAGCTTCATGTTACCCAAATAAAATTCTACTATGAAATTTGCTGAGATTCTAAAGGACATTAGATTAAATTGAGGCAGGAGAGTCAGCTTAGTGGGTAAGAATATCTGCTGTTCCAACAGAAGACCTGAGTTTGGTTTCCATCATCTATGTGGTAGCTTACAATTGTCTGTATTTCAGCTCCCAGGGATCTGATATACTCTTCTTGACTCTGTAGGCACCTCACATGGCATATGTCACACAGATACATACAAATGAATAAAAATAATTCTAAACAGGAAATTAAGTTGATAGAAATGATGACCCAAAAATGATTATCTATTTCTATCCTCTTTTGTAACTACTAACATCCTTATAATTTTCAGATTCATCTATAACGATAGCGTTGTAAGGAAAAAAGATATGACCAAGATAAAAATTAGGTATGAAATGATTTACAGTTCAAGTAAGGATGATTTGCAGATCAATTTCAAATGGTTTCACTTTTTTATAGTGTTGGGAATAGAACTTTGGGTCTCACAGATGTTGGGCAAACTCTCCCATGAAGCTCTATCTGTTTTCTTTCATAAGGCAATGGTAAAGAGACAACCAAAGACACAAACCTGGAAGCGGCCCCGCTGAAATGATCCACTCATTGCTTTACATCTACTCAAAGCCCTAGTATCAGCTGAGAACTCCCGTGGCAGAGGAATGGGATCAGAAGCAATTGCTGATCTTTTATCTTCTGTTTCCACTGTAAGGTTTGTCAAATTATAAGCAGAAAAGAGAAAAATCACTTTTAAGACTAATTTGTTTACATTACCAAAAATGAAGAAAAGCAGAAAAAGTTTAACCCTTGCTAGATAATTAAAAAGTGTTAATGTATAAGCAACATTGTTTAAGTCCCTAACTCTAAATCAGACATTGCAAGATTTATCCCGATACTTAGTATCTATATGAAATGAATAACTGAAAAACCAAATTAGTTACAAAAGGAAAAAATAAAATGGCCACATTAATGGGATATTTAATATATATGAGCTACATGGGAAAAAAATGGCAAGATTCAAATATGGACGACAAAAAAAAAGTAGATGAAAAATGATGTTACCTAGTCTATGTCCCTGACTGTAAGCACACTACCTTGACGGACTTTTGATCTCTTGAAAAAGCTGGTTGACTGCCGTAGCCTGTATGCCCAGCTTTTTAATTTTCGAGTCCAGGATTTCCTGCTAATAGGATTTTTGAGACTAGGACAAGTAAAGCTTAGGCCAAAATATCCACCTCCTGTCTGCAGATGAATGGTTCCATCGCTTGACACAGCAGCAGGATAGGCCTCTGGATCCCCTGGAAGTGAAGCATCTGAGGACATCTCCTAATGGAGACAAAAATCAAAGAAAAACCAAGTGGTAATAATTTAGGTAAGGTGAGTTAAGTTTTGTGGTATAAAAGTTTTCTTAAGCCGGGCAGTGGTGGCGCACGCCTTTAATCCCAGCACTCGGGAGGCAGAGGCAGGCGGATCTCTGTGAGTTCGAGACCAGCCTGGTCTACAAGAGCTAGTTCCAGGACAGGCTCCAAAACCACAGAGAAACCCTGTCTCGAAAAACCAAAAAAAAAAAAAGTTTTCTTATATGGATTAATAATTAACCATAAAACTATGGACTATTTCAGTAACAGTGCATATGAGACTGAAACCGAAGCTTTGATATTTCTTTGGAAATATTATGTCTTTAGATTAAATAAAAGACACTATTAATTTTCCAGGCCAAAATATTTGTTGTCATTACATCAAATTTGAAAACTAAAATTGAAAATAAGTTATTTTTTATATATGCCAATGACTAAAATACTAGTTTTTTGGTTTATTAGACACAAGATATCATGTAATTCAGGCTGTCCTTGAACTCCGGCTCCTACTGTTTTTACCTCCCAAGGAGTAGGATTTCAGGTGTGCAGTACCATGCCTGTTTATAAATGCTATTAAGTGAAATATTAGCTTATTCCCCTATTATTTAAGAGATAATTATTTTTGATATATGATACAATAGAAAAACAAGCAATTTAAAGCTGTTTAAGTAATAAATAGGAAATATGAAGAAAGTTTATTAGTTAATATGATCTCATAGAAATTTACAAAGAAATGAAAAATTACTGTGAATTCATGCTCTAAGAATTTTTAATATCAGATCATGTTTGCTATAAAACCATCATCTTCTTGTCCTCCTAACCTCCCCAAACACCCATGATTGCTTGTTGTGTCTAAATGAGTGCTTCCTAAATAATCTGCGGTAATTAATACAAAAACTTAGTGCATAGAACCATAGATCCTTTGGGATGTAAAAATAACTATCCAGCGGTGGTGGCACAGGCCTTTAATCCCTGAATTGGGAGGCAGAGGCTGGCAGATTTCTGTGAGTTCTAGGTCAGCCTGGTCTACAGAGTTCCAGGATAGCAAGGGCTGACACAGAGAAACCCTGTCAAGAAAAAGAAAAAGAAAAAAAGTGGTCACTAATAACAGAGTATTAAAAGTGAATATAAAAAGTATATAGGGGAGGGATGTAGAATTAATCTAAAGGAAGACAGCCTTCCTACATGACAATAAGCACTATTAATACTTAAATCAGAAGTTATCAAAAGGGAAAATTTTGGACTAGAGATGTTCAGTTGATAGAGGGCTTGCCTAGCAAGCACAGTGCCCTGGGTTTGATTCCCAGAACCACACAAGGCATTCATGTACATACATCTGTAATCATAGCACTCAAAAGGTAGAGGTAGATCATTCGTGGTTATGTAGTAAGTATGAGCTCAGCCTAGGATACATGAAAGGTTACCTCAAAAAAAAAAGGTGAAATTTTGAACAATCAGTAAGCAAGTTTCTGAAGTCCTATTTTGGGTTAGCAATATTATCTAAACTAGGAGATAAAAAATTGTAAAAATACTATGTTTCAGAAAGTGCTACACTGATGCCACTGAAATTATAAATGAGATATATATTTCTCATTTATAATAAGCACTTATTTAGACACAAATTATAAATATGTAGTGAATAGAACAAGATATATTTACCATAAATTTTAGTTTCCCTTGTAAAGTGAAATACTCAGACAAAACAACAGCAACAATAAAACTCCAGATCTAGACATAAGAATTTATGAAAGAAAGAAGAAAGGAAGACTGTACTATATGTATGAACTGTCTCAAAAAGACCACATACTCAAATGCTAGATATGAGCAGCAACAAAGAAATCTGGTCAACAAAAAGGATGCTTACAAAATTCCACCCAATCTTTTTCCCATATGTCTTTTCACTGTATTATGTTTTAAAATATCTTTCTACTTAACTGGCCTTCTTTTGATTCCTTGAACAAATATCTACCTGAAAATGTCACTACTATATATTATATATGTCTTTCCCTGATCACTCAAAATGGATAATCTAATTTATCATAGCCCTTAAATTATGTTATTGAAAGACTGTTAAATACTAGAATGTGAACTTCAGAAAAAGAGGTTTTGACTTACTGTTCAATAGACAATTTTTGAATGGAAGATTATACTGGTTGAGGTAAAAAAGAAAGAACAGTCATTCCCTTCTCTCTACACCAAGAAAAAAATACCAGAACACCTACTCCCATAATAAGAATACAAAGAAGAAGTATTTTGGACAAGAGAAAAGTCAGTGAGGGGCAAAGACAATATCTAACAGCCCAGCTGCCTTTATAGACTAGCTACAGCAGTTACCCACCAGGAAGCTTTAAAAAAATGTTAAAATGTATAGCACAAAAAAGTCTGTTTGATGTTTTTCTCACAATTAAAGATACAGTAATTATATAATAGCACATATGTACAGATGAACACAGAATCTTATGGGAGAAATTGAAAAAAAAATGAACACAGAACTAAGAATTAACAAAACTTAAAGAAAACTAACACTGAAAGAAAATACTAAACTCAGTGCTAGAAAGTGGCCTCAGTGGTTAAGGGCAACCAGGTATGGTTCCCAGAACCTATCTAGTGGCTGACAGCTATCTGTAACTCTAGTTTTAGGGTATCAAGCTCCTCTTCTGACCTCTGTGGGCTCCTGCACACACATGGCACATATACATACACATTGGGCATACATATATACACAGTAAATTAAATATAAATATTTAAAAAACAAAGAATGGATTACAGCTATTAGAAATTCAAAAATGCAATCCTTGATGCAAAATGACTAAATAGGACAATATAATCATCTTAAAAATGGAGAAATTATCTCATTACAAAAAGCAAAGGGAGGGGGCTGGAGAGACGGCTCAGAGGTTAAGAGCATTGCCTGCTCTTCCAAAGGTCCTGAGTTCAATTCCCAGCAACCACATGGTGGCTCACAACCATCTGTAATGGGGTCTGGTGCCCTCTTCTGGCCTGCAGGCATACACACAGTCAGAATATTGTATACATAATAAATAAATAAATAAACATTTAAAAAAAAGCAAAGGGAAAAAGAGGAATGCATGATATGAAAAGTTAACATATGAGAAAAATAAGAAATGAACAAATAAAATTTTCTTCATTCACAAATGACAAAATTTTATACATAGAAAACCCAAAGCTGGGCATGGCGGTCCACTCTTTTAATCCCAGCCCTCAGGAAACATAGGAAGATGGATATCTGTGAGTTTTTGGCCAGCCTGGTCTACATAATGAGACCCTGTCTCAAAGAAAAGGTTCAGGGATAGGGAGATGGCTCAGTGGATGAATTGCTATGAAAGTATAAGGAAATGAGTTCAGATCCTCTGAGAAAAATGTCTAGCTACACTAGTCAATCAATGATCCTGCCACAACGGAATATGGTGAAGAGAGATTGAGGACATCTACTGTTAAACTCTGGCCTCGGTGTGTACTCACACACGCACATATGTGCATATACATGCAAACACATCCATAAAAAAAGAGAAAAATAAAATCCAAAAGAACCCACCCAAAACTATTAGGCCAATAAATAGACTCAGAAAAATTCAAGTACACAATCTTAACACATGAAAGTCAGTTATTGTTTGGATGAGTGGCTCACATCTATAATCCCAGTACTATAAAGGTTAAGATAGAAAGAGGTTGAGATAGGAAGATTACTATGAGTTTGAAGCCAAGATAGCCTGGACTACAGAGTGGATGCCTTGTACCAAAAACAAAAACAAAAACCAGTCAGTTGCATTTCTATATGCTAAACAATGAAGAATCCAAAGAGGAATTTGTTATATGTTAAATGTCCTCATCAAAATAATGTTAAAACTTAATCCCCATTGTGAGGCTTTGAGAGTCAGAAACAGGCAGAACCTTTAATAGGTAACAGAGTTATAAGGGGTCCATTCTGTTGAATGGCAAGGTAATGGGTTCCACAGCAGCTTTACGCTACATAGTAAAACACAGTCTTAAAAAGAAAAAACACAAAATTACTAAATCAAGAGAGGAACAAATATATGTATTATTTACAAGTTATTAATGATAATGACCAAAGAAACTACAATAAGAAACTTGTTTAGGAAATGTTAAGTTGTTTAGATTTTACTATTCATCTGAAATTCTTTTGTGCTTACATATTAATTCTATAACTTAAACTACTTTACAAAAATTTAAAAAAAGCAAAACAGCATATATACACAAAGGAATATATGTATATAAATATTACATGTATTTATGTTTATAAAAGGCATAATACATATGCAGAATTATGTTGGTACAAATATTTATACATTAACTAAAATCATATCTGGAAATGCCAACAGTTATGTTTACAGATTTGGGATGTGATAGATTTTATTTTGCACACAAGTATATATTATTTGGATAGCAATGATGACAAAAATTACAGTAGTAAACATTTACAAAGATCATGAGATGGTAAAAAAATTTCAGTTCGTTGACACAGTAATTATGTGCTTTTAGCACAATATTGTTTTGAAGAATATATGTGATATGCATCCAAATAGGGTTTGGAAAAGTAGGGTTAAGAAAAGTCAAGAAGGAAAAGCAGCAAAATTACTAGTGATTACCTCTGTGACTGAACAGGTAGAAAAGGGAAATAGGGCTAGGGGTATGGCTCAGTGATATAGCACTTGCATGGTATGTATTTGATCCCTGAACTTAATAGCCAATACTGAAAAATAAAAAAAAAAGACATGAAAAGAATAAAAATGGAGATATTAAGGTTCCTATATTATATAGGTGGCCAATCTCAACAAAAATCTAAAATCCAAAATCTGAAACTTTCTGAGTACCAACATGATCCTGCTAGTAGTGGAAAATTCCACATCTGACCAACCTCATCTAATGAGTTGCAATTAAAATAAAATGCATTAATAAACTATATAAAATTGTCTACAGTCTCTGTGTATAAATATATAAGAAACAAAAATGAATTCTGTATTTAGATTTGGGTACCAGCCCCAAGATACTCGATCTGGTATTTACAAGTATTCTAAAATTCAGGGAATCTAAAATGTGGAAAACTTGTAATCTTTCCATCTCAACTTTTCTGGGAAAAACTCTTTTTCTTCCTGCTCCTTCTCCTGTTTTTCTGAACTTATTTTTATTTTTCTAATTGAATTTATAAATACTTTCATACATGTTAATAATGAATTCTGATTACTCCACCCCACGTTCTCATTTATCTCCCATCCCTATCAACTCCTCTCCCCCCAACAAGTTCCTTTGCCATGTTCATGTCTTTCCATTTATTTTGTGATCCACTGAGTTTAGCCAGGACCACCTGTGTGATTGTATGTTTGGTACTTTTCACTGGAGCCTGGCGGGTTCACCATGATTACACAACTTAAGACAATGACTGTCCTCTCTCCTACAATTTATCAGAAACAAATAGTTCAGCAGGCAATGGCCAGGATCTATGCGCTCCGCTTACATTCTATTTGTTCTTTTTCAACAAGGTGTCATGTAGTCAAGGCTTGCCTCAAACTTAGTATTAATTGAAGATGATTTTGAACTTCTGATCCTACCACCTCCACCTCCTTGGTGCTAAGATTATGGTATGGGTTACCATGCTTAATTAAATGTTTTACTGTTTAAGGTACTGGGGCAAGCACTCTATCACTGAGCTATATTTCTAGTTCTTTTAGAGGTTGAGAAAAAAGTCGTGGGATTATGGATGATTTTAAAAAATAAGTTAAACACATCAAAATATTAAATTAATACTGTAAAATTGTTATAAGGGAATGGACAACAGTTTTCTTTGTAAATTTTTCTTGTTTTGTTTTTAAAGTTTCCTCTCAAACTGAAATCAAAGTTTATTACACTTATCCTCAAAATAATCTAAAATTATACACAGTGTTTGCAAATTTCAAGCCAACTCACCAGAAGGCTTTCTTAAATAAACTCAAGGCAAATCTGCCATTTCTAAGAAGTTTTGAGTAGCTGCAGCCTAAGTCACAATCTTAAATGGTAGTTACTTTGGAACATTTTAGGAGAGAGGGCATTTCTTTAAATTCCATAAGCAAAGAATAAGAATTAGAAAGATACTCACATGTAAACATAACTCGCTGGGTACAGAAGTTATCACATTCAAGTCTTTTTTGAACACTGATATATTAGCAGGCTGACTTGCAGCTACATTGGACGGAATCTTAGAGCCTGTCTGTTCGAAATTTGGAGATTGTGTGGGACTATCTTGAATCCCACAGTGACTGACAGCTATGATTTCTGGCATTGAATAGGATAGTATATCTTCAGCAGAGGAAGAAAATGGAGAGTCTATGCTTTGAGTATCCTTCTGACTCTCAGGATAAATGCTAGAAATGCTGTGCTCCTGATAGAGCAGGTTTCTTAATTTTTCATCCAGTGTTTTAATTCGGTTGTCTGCAAACTCCATTTTTGGAGGTCGTTCCCCATCTGATTCCAGGACAGTAGCAGGAAGATGTGTAGCTGGTTCAAAGCCAGGAGTCTGAGTGGCAAGGACTGCCTTAGGAGAACTTGTTTCAGTGTTCACTGTGGTTTCTACTTCTTGGGAAATGAACTCTGCATCTATAGTTGGTTGAGGCTTTTGATCAGAAGATACAAATGCTGAAGTTAGAACAACATTATCACCAATCTGAACCGATTCACCAGGATGGGGCAGAAGCACATCAGCCAGAACAGCAGCTTGCTGACATGGATGGGTAGGTATGAACATGCCTGCTTGGCTGGTGAGTGCCTCACATTCAACTGAAACTGGACATACCAAAGTAGCAGAATCATTGGAATGATCAGTAGCTGGTGCCCTTATCTGTCTGTCATCTTCCACTTGACAGTGAATAGTTGGCTGCTCAGTTTCTCCACTAGCACATTCAGAAATATTACCATCAACCACATCCTTGTGTTCTGATTTAGAGGTGAAAATTACATGCTGGCCTGGATTATTCTCTATAGTGAACAATGTGTCCTGTGATATTTCCTGATTACTTGTGTTTCTTGAACCTGGAACAAAACAAAAGAATAGTTAAGTTTTGATGAGTAAAAAGTGTAAACACAAAACTCAAAAGGGACAAGGAAAGCTAGGGTCAAATTAGGACCTATTTAAAAGTACATTTGTAAATGAGACCTAAAACATCACAGAATTCAACAATCAAGAAGAAATGACTTCTTGTTTTTTTTTAAAGATTTATTTATTAATTATGAATACAGTGTTCTGCCCACATATATGCCTCTATGCCAGAAGAGGGCACCAGGTCTTATTATAGATGGTTGTAAGCCACCATGTGGTTGCTGGGAATTGAACTCTGGACCTTTGGAAGAGCAGCCAGTGCTCTTAACCTCTGAGCCATCTCTCCAGCCCCCACTTCTTGGTTTTTTTCCACAAAAACTGAATAAAATGGCCTGTTACATAGCAATATTAATGTCTTCTAAAATGCTCATGAAAACTTTCATAAGCATAAAATACTCCTAAAAACAAATTAATAAATACAGTCTGTAATTTTTAACCATATCATCCAAGTCCATAGAAATCTGGCAGACAATAAAGCTTACTAGAAAATGGATGTAGCCCAGGAACTGTAGCCACAGAAGGCTGAAGGGAAGGAGGAGACTGTGCCTCACGATGTTTTATAGTTTGGTTGATACAAAACCGCCACCAACCAACTGGGGATGACTGAGGAACTGATTCATCTGGAGAAAGAATTATTAACAAATTATACACATAGAAAATGTCAGTGTGTTCATATTAAATAAAGAAATCAAGTTAAAAATTAGCTTGTGTTGCATTTCCACTTTCAAGAGAACAAGGATAATTATAAGTCATAAGAGTAACATCCCAACCTTGACAAACAGTTTACAGAACTAAATATAAGATATATATTAATAGTAACCAGAAGCAAAGCACTACATTTAAATAACTGGGTCATAGTTTCTCCATTCAAATCTACAGTTGTTGTTTTGCAACCTGATTATGGTTGTGCCTAAGTGATATCATGGTGGTATACAAGCATTAAAATTTAGAGAACTATAGACCAGAAAAAAAAGAGAAGTAAATCTAGCTTATGACAATATAAAAGTAAAGTAAGACAAATCCCTATATCTGTAACTTTCTCAAGTAATTTTCTTTGGAACTTTACCTTACGTTGTCAGTCAGACACTTGCTCAGATTTCTGCTAAGATACAGATGTACTCTGGCAACCTAATACAGTTTAACTAAATTTCAGGATAATGGTATCTGCTTCCATTATTTCCACACCACCTTTTGCTTCTTCATGCTATGTAAATTCCTTCAGATGTCTTCATGATGCTATGGTTCATCTCCCCCTCCCAGACACTCTTAATATACCCATGACCAGGGCTAAGAAGAATGAAGAGATAAAGTTGTCAGAAAAGAAAACAGAAAAACCCTAATTTTAGTTTCTGGAAGTTTATCTGGTGTCTGATTTACAAAGTTATCAGTGACCAGAACTGGTAGAAGTATTATCATCAGTGAAATAGTCAAGTTCTGAATGACTATTAAAATATGAGGCACAGATTTTAGTTAGGATACTTTTGTCCATCTCATGTCAAAGTAAACAAATTAGCAGTTAAGATTCAAATAGGCTGTCAAAGTCTTCAGCATTGTCACTTCCTTTTCTGGTAACATACCATGTAACAACTCAGAAGTAAATTACTCAGATAAAGAATCAATAATTTTTTTTAAAATTTATGGGCTATAAATTTTTTTCAAGTGTGGAAAAACAATTTATTATCAAATTAATTTATTGGTTAATATCTTTATCTATGAAACTATATCAAGACACCAAAATGCCTTTTTGCAAAAGCCAAATGGTAAATTTTATTAAATATACTTACTGCTGGTTTGAGTGGATGCAGAATTTATCAGTACTTGTTCAGATGATCCTGTCTGAAATAAAAATGAACAGGTAAATAATGATATTCATGACAAAGTCCCCAAATGGCCTTATTACTTAAAAGTGCTCTTACTTGGTTACTATTGGATTCCAAGGCAACAGAGTCAACACCAATAGATTTTTCTGCAGCTGAGTGGACATGAAGGATCTCCTGGGCTTGACCTACAATAGCCCTCAATTCTTCTACAAATTTTTCTTTCTCATTTTCCAGCACAAAGTTATCTTCAACCTGCCATCAAGTAAAAGCCAATGTATTCATGAGAATACATTTATTTTCTTCAAAATTATAATATTTTCATGGTGAATTCCAAAGGATCAAAACAAAGTATGTGCCACAAAAATAATTAAGACCAGTTATAAACAGTTTCATAACGCATTCAAATATTCTGAGATCACTGATATTTATCAGAAAAAGTCACTATACTTTGAAATATCCTGAATTTATAAATTGGCTGCAATTTCAACTGAACAATGTGCACAGAATGTAAGACCTTGGAACACTAAGTCCTAAAAAGGTATCTTCATCAAGTCCCTTTCATCAGGGCTCAGGAAGCAGAAAGATAAGACCCATAAGGGATGGATGACACCAAGAAAACAGTGTCTTACAGACAATAGGACTGACACACATAAGAACTAACAGAGATGGTGGCAGCATGCACAGGGCATGCACAGGTCCAAGACAGATGGTGTGGCAGCACTGAGAGGGGGAAGTGGACACAAGCCCATATGACAACCAAGAAGCTATTTCCAAACTGACATCCACTTACAAAGGAAAGATTAGTTTTCTCCAACAGTTTCACTGGGTATATCAACCACACTTAAGGGTAGGACCCACACCTAGTAGTAGATAGGCAACACCAAAAACACAATGATATTTTATATCTTTTTTGTCGTCCCACATTGCTTTATTTGGGCATTTTTTGTTTTGTTTTGTTTTGTTTGGAAGACAGGCTCTTTTGACATAATCATGGCTGTCCTAGAATTCACTATGAAGATCAGGCTGACCTCAAACTCACAGATATCAGCCTGCTTCTTCCTTCAAGTGCTAGAACTAAAGACATAAAAGAAAAGCACTATTCTAAGCCTAATTATTAAAATCTATTAAAAAGTAAATATGGGTCAGGGTAAATGACAAAGTTGGTAAAGTGCCTTATGTGCAAGAATGGGAACCTGAGTTTGACTCTCTGGTATCCATAAAAAAGTCAGGATTGGGGGGCTGGAGAGATGGCTCAGCAGTTACGAGCACTGGCTGCTCTTCCAGAGGTCCTGAGTTCAATTCCCAGCAACCATATGGTGGCTCACAGCCATCTGTAATGAGATCTGGTGCCCCCTTCTGGTGTGCAGGTGTAAATGGAAGGAATGTTGCATACCTAATAAATAATAAATAAATCTTTTAAAAAAAGAAAAAAAGAGAAAAAAAAGTCAGGATTGGTAGTGTGCATCTGTAATCCCTGCGCTGAGGACAGGTTTAGGGGTGATGGAGACAAGAAGATTTCTAAAACTCACTGGTTAGCAAGTCTAGCTGAATCAATGAGCTCCAGAGTCAGTAAAACACAAAATGAACACAATGATGTTTGACACCTTTTTTGTCTCACATTTCTGAGTAGGTATGGGTGAATGTACCCAAACACATACTTGCACATATATGATATTCATAAACACTACACTCACACTTATCATAAAGAAATAAAGTGGACAGCAGTTGAGGAGGTCACCCAATGTCCTCTGTACTTCATGTACATACCTATATAAACATGTACATACACCACACACAATGTATTCACACATTAAAAAAAATAAAACTAAATGTACTGAAAAACATAACTTGAATACTTTTGGGCAGAATGTTAGATACATTAAAATTATCTAGGTGGCCTGATTCTGATTTAATCAGGGGCCTATGCAATGAGATTATCATTTAAAGCTTATAATATTATTTAAACATATAGACAGAGATTAAAACATAGTGATCTAAAAACCAACAAAACAAAAAGTACCCAAAACCTCATATTTCCTCAGATAACTACAGTAAAACCAGAGGAAATGCAGTAATTTATCCCTGATAATCACTTTTTTCTGTGCAAATTAGAAAAAAACTACAAAAATAATTTTAAAAAAAAAAGAGAAAAAAGAAAAAAACTGTACACATTCTATCACGAGATGGGTGTAAATGAATGAGTGAAGAGAAAACAGAGGGAAAACCAAATGGGATGAGAAAAAGGAGAGAGAATAATTCCACTAAGGGGAAAAATAGTACTGTCTTACTATACTGACCATATAGTCTGCAATATCTTCAGGTGCATCACCATCGACATCAAACTTGAAAGTGACCATCTTGTTGTTGTGTGTTTCTAGTTGACACTCCACCATGTTGTCTCCAGAGACTGATACCTAAGTACATACATTTAACCAGTTTAAGAGAAGCTGTCTTAGCTGGGGATGGAACACAGTTGGAAGAGTGCTTGCCTAGCATGCACAAAGCCCTGAGTTCCATCCCCAGCATCACATAAACCAATCATGGTAGTACACATCTGTAATCTCAGTACTTGGGAAGTGAAAGCAGGATTAGAAATTCAAAATTATCCTTGACTATATAGTAAGTTTGAAGTAAGCCTAAGCTATTATCAGACCCTGTCTAAAAACAATAAAAATGAAAATAAAATAAAAACATTTTGAGGGCAGTGGTGATAAATGCCTTTAATCCCAGAACTAGGGAGGCAAAGACTGGTGGACCTCTGTGAGTTCAAGGTCAGCCTGGTCTACAGAGCAAGTTCCAGGACAGGCCCCAAAGATACAGAGAAACCCTGTCTCAAAAATCCACCCCCAAAAACAAACAAATAACAGAAAAAAACCCCACAAAACAACAACAACAAAAACATTTTATAAGGAGTAACTAGATAAGCTTATATACAACATATTCAGCAACTTAAAGAAAGAATGGGAAAAAGGATGATTAAATTATATCTCTGTATAAGGGACTATGTATTACAGACATTTAAAATATATTATTCAAATTATTTACTGGCATCAGAAACATGTACATAATATATTGAGCTTTCAAAAAGAAGTGATATAAAACTGTATGTAAGTTTTATAATCCTACTGAAACATATATCATATTGGTTAGAGATACAGGCTTTAAATTCTGATCTGGCTGCAGATCTGACTCCAGCATTTGGTAGTTGAATGATTTTATGCAAATTACTTCTCTGGTGTGAGCATCTATATTTGTGAGATGGGCATACTATTTATCATATAAGGCTTTTGGAGGGTCATGATAATAATAAGTACATAATATCTGGGACACCTGCCGGGCGATGGTGGCGCACGCCTTTAATCCCAGCACTCGGGAGGCAGAGGCAGGCGGATCTCTGTGAGTTCGAGACCAGCCTGGTCTACAAAGCTAGTTCCAGGACAGGCTCCAAAGCCACAGAGAAACCCTGTCTCAAAAAACCAAAAAAAAAAAAATCTGGGACACCTATCACAAAATAATTCAATATATTTTTGCTAATATTAATGTCTCTGATAATTACTCAAATTAAATGTAAAACACTGCACATACACATAGATGAAAACTAAAAATATAGAAGGAATAAGCTCTGATTCATGGTTATAGGGATTTTAAGTTCTTCCTTTTATTTAACCCACAATTTCCAAGTTTAATAACTACAATGTAATGTTCTCATCAGAAATTTTGAATGGAATTTACAGAAGGTTTCATAATATTCTGAATTTACTTCATTCACTGCATTTACAGCACTGTTCCTCCCTGAGTCTCCAAGGCTCTAAAACATACACACTGACCTGAAGGACAATAAGCTGAAATTTAGTCCCCTTCTCTGGTCGGGGACAGGAGGCTCTTCTCTGTTTGATCCGATCCTGTTTGCCATTTCCATTTGGGTTATCAGGGTTATTAGTGTTTTCTTTCATAGTTGTCACATCTTGATTCAAGCTAGTGATTTAAAAAAAAGGTAACTCATTCCAATAATGATCATAAAAATCTATAGAAAATTTAAGATTATAACCACTCGGAAGGCAGAGGCAGGTGGATCTCTATGAGTTCGAGGCCAGCCCGGTCTACAAGGGCTAGTTCCAGGACAGGTTCTAAAGCTACAGAGAAACCCTGTCTCGAAAAAAAAAACCAATAATAATAATAATACACATAAGTACAAGTAGTATAAGATTACACATTAATGCTCATGGGGCAAAGGACATAACTCAGAGGTACAGTACTTGTGTAGCATATACAAGGTCTGGGTTTCATCCCAAGCAAGCCCTTCCAATACAACCTTCTCCTGGAGTTCTTAAAAAATAGAGAAGTGGGGCTGGAGAAATGGCTCAGCGGTTAAGAGCATTGCCTGCTCTTCCAAAGGTCCTGAGTTCAATTCCCAGCAACCACATGGTGGCTCACAACCATCTGTAATGAGATCTGGTGCCCTCTTCTGGCCTGCAGACGTACACACAGACAGAATATTGTATACATAATAAATAAATAAATAAATAAATATTTAAAAAAATAGAGAAGTGGCAGCAATAGGTAATAATCATTAGAGGATAAAAAAGATATAATTTTAGCTCATGAAGTAACAATTTACATAATCAAAAGTTTCCTTAAAATACTAGTTTAAGACTAGAGTGCTGGTTCAATGTTAAAAAAAAAAACATTTACTAGCTCTTGCAAGGACCTGGGATCAATTCCCAGCCCCCACATGTGAAGCCACAGTGCACAACTGTCTTTAATTCTAGTTCCACTGAGTTCAATGCCTTCTTCTGACCCCTATGGGCAACAAGTACACATGTGGGGCAAATACATATATGCAGAACACTCAGAAGCCTAACAAAATAAATCTAAAATATAGCTTTTGGAACAAAATGACAGAAACTCAACTTTTCTTGCTCATTTCCCCCAAGTACAACTTTAAAAGTTCTAGAAATAATAAACTAGACAATCACAAGAGCTAACCAAGACTGAAAAAATAAAAGACTATATAAGAACCCTAAAGACTTGAAAAACAAACAAACAACAGCAGCTTGACATCTCCCAATTATCTATCCATGACAGAAGGCTATCAATCTCAGTCTCATATATCCACAGTACATCCACAAAAGAAACTCAAACCTAATGTCTCCTGACTCTAGCCCATTAGCCAAAGATAGATTCCTTCTTTCCTAGGAGAACTGGGAAGAGCCTCATCAACAGAATATGGACTAGATTTCCAAGAGGAAAACTCTACCCATGGTAGTACCCAATGGTGTCAGGTGAACAAAGCAGACCAGAATAGTACAAGGACTCTAAAACTAAATTTTCATTGGAACCACAGCCTGTTAAAGAGTGAGCCAGAACACATGCAATTAAACACAGGGAATGTTTAAGAAAACAGAAGATTTAATTAGAATCTATACTATCCTAACATAATGCCTAAAATATAGAAATAAAAATCAAATTCTAGTCTTACCAAAAATGAAACAAATTAAAAAACAAATACCCAGGAAAATCATAACTTGAATGCAGAAAGACAATCAACAGACATAAACTTCTAAGATAAATCATAAATTGAAATTGTCAGACAAGTCATAATCAAAATGATTCAGTGGACTAGAGTGCAGCTCAGTGATAGAGCACTTGCTTAGTATGCACAAAGTCCTGGGTTTAGTCCCCAGTGCAAAGGAAAAAGAAATTAAAAATGGAAAGGAAAGCCAACTTCAGCAAAAGACTGAGTGGTAATGTGCTCATGTAGCATGTGGAAGGACCCACTAATGAAAAGAATAAAAACAAAACAAAACTTCAACAGGCAACTGCAACTGCATTTGAAGCAAATGAGAAAAATAAAGTCAATGAGAAATAGAAGATTAAAAAAGAATCAAATGGAAATTATAGGACTAAACATAGAATCACAGAAATAAAACTTCACTGAATGGGAAAAAATGGTAGAATATACAGGACATAGAAAAGAATCAATAAATTTAAAAAATAATAGAACTTACCCAATTTGAATAATATGTAGAAAAGATTATCTTAAAACTACCAATAATGCAATTACTTATCTTGCTATCATCACTAAATACTTAAGGAATAAAATTCATCACAATTTTATCAATCCTATACAAATACAAGAATAAAAGATTACTTTATTCAAGGGACTTTAAGCATACAATGATATGTGTTAGCATGCTACCACTGATTTCTAGGTATGAAGATGATGATACTTACCTTGGAACAAAATCTGGATTTTGAAGAGCTGCTTGTTGTTCAGCTCCTACTGGTTGGGACACAGGCTGTAAAGGGAGCAGTAATAACACCTATTATGGTAACTGCAAAGTTTATGCTAAGACATAATTTGCTACTTCAAAAACCTCATTGTTATATTTCATTTTTTAACTTTGTAAATAATGTAAAATGTCTTTATTATCCAATGCCTATATCAATCCTAATACTGACATTAATACATCAAGTATCTCTTACTCAAGGCTTTGTCATTAAAAGTTAACAACAGTGTTTCGGAAGGTGTGGTGGTGCACTCCTTTTAATCTCAGCATTCCAAAGGTGGATCTCTCTGAGTTGGAGATCAGCCTGTTGTATAAAATGAGTTTCAGGCCAGCCAAAGCTATACAGTAAGATCCTGTCTTAAAAAGTTATAAATAAATACCTCTTAATACTTTTAATTCTTGTTTTATTATTACAGAGAACAGATGAATCCTGAGTTACTGCAATTCCATAAGAAAATAAATCAATGAATAAAATGTTTCTCAGGAAATTGGGAATCAGCCCACCTCAGGATCCAGCAATACCACTCTTGGGAATATACCAAAGATATGCCCAATCATACTACAAAAGCATTTGTTCAACTATGTTCGGAGCAGCATTATTTGTAATAGCCAGAACCTGGAAACAACCTAGATGCCCCTCAATGGAAGAATGGATAAAAAAAGTGTGGAACATGTACACATTAAAGTACTACTTAGCGGTAAAAAACAATGACATCTTGAATTTTGCGTGCAAATGGATGGAAATAGAAAACACTATCCTGAGTGAAATAACCTAGACCCAAAAAGATGAATATGGTATGTACTCACTCATTAGTAGACTCTAGCCATAAACAAAGGACATTAAGCCTATAGTTCACAAGCCCAGAGAAGCCAAATAACAAGGTGAACCCAAAGAAAAACATATATAGATCCTCCTGGAAATTGGAAGCAAACAAGATTGCCAGGCAAAAGTTGGGAGCATGGGGGTGGGGGTAGGGGTGGGATTGGACGAAGGGGAGAGGGGGAGAGGGAAAGAAGGGAAAGTCTAGGGAGAGCTTGTGGGAAAGGGAGGGTGGAGATGGAGGAAGGGCAGATATAGGAGCAGGGAAGAAGATATCTACATTAAGGGAGCCATTTTAGGGTTGGCAAGAGACTGGGCTCTAGAGGGGATCCCAGGTGTCCACGGGGATGTCCCCAGCTAGGTCCCTGGGCAGCAGAGTAGAAGGTGCCTGAACTGTCCTTGCCCCACTATCACGCTGATGATTATCTCAAATATCACCATAGAATCTTTGTCCAGCGACAGATGGAGATAGAGACAGAGACCCTCATCAGAACAACGGACTGAGCTCCCAAAGGTCCAGTTGAAGGGCAGAAGGAGGGAGAAGACAAGCAAGGAAGTCAGGAACGGGAGGGGTTGTTCCACCCACTGAGACAGTGTGCCTGTTCTAAGGGGAGCTCACCAAATCCAGCTGGACCAGGACTGAACGAGCATGTGATCAAATCGGAATCTGATTGTGGCTGACAATGGGGGCTGACTGAGAAGCCATTGATAAAGGCCCTGGGACTTGTTTTTACTGCATGTACTGGCTTTTTGGACCCTAGTCTATTTGGATGCACAGCTTCCTAGACCTGGATGTAGGGGGGGAGGTCCTTGGACTTCTCACAGGGCAGGGTTCCCTGCCCTCTGGCAAATCGAATCCAAGAACACATCAGAACCATCATCCACCATGATCAAGTCTGCTTCATCCCAGAGATGCAGGGATGGTTCAACATACGAAAATCTGTCAACATAATCCACCATATAAACAAACAGAAAAATACAAACCAAATGATCATCTAATTAGATGCTGAAAAAGCTTTTGACAAAATACAACATCCCTTCATGATAAAGGTCTTGGAGAGAGTAGGGATACAAGAAACATACCTAAACAAAATTAAGGCAATATACAGCAAGCCAAGAGCCAACATTAAACTAAAGGAAGAGAAACTCCCAGCGATTCCACTAAATCAGGAACAAGACAAGGTTGTCCACTTTCTCCATATCTATTCAATATAGTTCTTGAGGTATTAGCTAGAGCAATAAGACACCAAAAGGAGATCAAGGGGATATAAATTGGAAAAGAAGAAGTCAAACTCTCATTGTTTGCTGATGATATCATAGTTTATATAAGTGATCCCAAAAATTCTACCAAGGAACTTCTACAACTCATAAAAACTTTCAGTAATGTAGCAAGATACAAGATTAATTTGAAAAAAATCAGTAGCCCTCCTGTACACAGATGATAAATGGGCTGGGAATCAAATCAGTGAGACAACACCTTTCACAATAGCCACAAATAGCATAAAATATCTCAGAGTAACTCTAACCAAACAAGTGGAAGACTTATAGGACAAGAACTTTAAATCTTTCAATAAAGAAATTGAAAAAGAAACCAGAAAGTTGAAAGATCTCCCATGCTCTTGGGTAGGCAGAATTAACATAGTAAAAATGGTAATCTTACCAAAAGCAATCTACAGATTCAATGCAATACCCATCAAAATTCTTCACAGACATCGAAAGAATGGTACTCAGCTTCATGTGAAAAAGCAAAAAAAAAAAAAAAAAAAAAAAAAACCAACCCAGGATAACCAAAACAATCCGGTACAATAAAGGAACTTCTGGAGGCATCACAATCCTTGACTTCAAACTCTACTACAGAGCTACAGTACTGAAAACAGCCTGGTATTGGCTTAAGAACAGACACGAGGACCAACGAAACCAAATAGAAGACCTGGATATCAATCCACACACTTTTGAACACCTGATTTTTGACAAAGAAGCAAAACATATCAAATGGAAAAAAGAAAGCATATTTAACAAATGGTGCTGGCATAACTGGATATCAACATGTAGAAGAATGATAACAGACCCATATCTATCACCATACACAAAACTCAAGTCCAAATGGATCAAAGACCTCAACATAAAGCCAGCCACACTGAACCTTATAGAAGGGAAAATGGGAAGTACACTTGAACACATTGGCACAGGAGATCACTTCCTAAATATAACCCCAGCAGCACAGACACTGAGAGAAACAATCAATAAATGGGACCTCCTGAAACTGAAAAGCTTCTGTAAAGCAAAGGACATGGTCAACAAGACAAAACGATGACAGCCTACAGAATGGGAAAAGATCTTCACTAACCTCACATCAGACAGAGGTCTGATCTCCAAAATATACAAAGAACTCAAGAAATTGGACACCAAAAGATCACATAATCCAATAAAAAAATGGAGTACAGACCTAGAGAACTCTCAACAGAGTAATCTAAAATGGCTGAAAGAAACTTAAGGAAATGCTAAACATCGTTAGTCATCAAAGAAATGCAAATCAAAACAACTCTGAGATTCCTTCTTACACCTGACTCTAGAGGGGTTCCTAGGGGTCCAGAGAGATGTCCCCAACTAGGTCCTTGGGCAGCTGAGGAGAGAGAGCCTGAAATGGCCCGATCCTAAAGCCATACTAATGAATATCTTACATCACCATAGAACCTTCATCTGGCGATGGATGGAGATAGAGACAGACACCCACACTGGAGCACTGGACTGACCTCCCAAGGTCCAAATGAGGAGCAGAAGGAGTAGAACATGAGCAAGGAAGTCAAGACCTCAAGGGGGGCACCCACCCACTGAGACAGTGGGGCTGATCTAATGGGAGCTCACCAAGGCCAGCTGGACTGGGACTGAATAAGCATGGGATGAAACCGGACTCCCTGAACATGGTGGACAATGAGGGCTGCTGAGAAGCCAAGGACAATGGCACTGGGATTTGATCCTACTGCATGTAATGACCTAGCCTGTTTGGATGCTCACCTTCCTAGACCTGGATGGAGGGGGTCAGGGCACCCTGACTGCTCTTTGGACTGGAGAGGGAGGGGGAGGGGAGTGGGACGTGGGGAGTGGGCGGAGTGGGGAGGTGGAAATTAAAAAAAAAAAGAATGGCCAAGATCAAAAACACTGATGACAACTTATGCTGGAGAGGTTGTGGGGAAAAGGGAACACTTCTGCATTGCTGATGGGAATGCAAGCTGGTACAACCCCTTTGGATGTCAGTGTGGCAATTTCTCAGAAAATTAGGAAACAACCTTCCTCAAGACCCAGAAATACCACTTTTGGGTATATATCCAAAGGATGCTCAATCGTGCCACAAGGACAGGTACTCAACTGTGTTCATAGCAGCATTGTTTGTCATAGCCAGAACCTGGAAACAACCTAAATACCCCTCGATTGAAGAATGGATAAGGAAAATGTGGTACATTTTCACAATGGAGCACTACACAGCAGAAAAAATAACGACATCTCGAATTTTTTAGGAAAATGGATGGAGCTAGCAAACATTATTTTGAGTGAGGTAACCCAGACACAGAAAGACAATTATCACATGTACTCACTCATAAGTGGTTTTTAAACATAAAGCAAAGAAAACCAGCCTACAAAACACAATCCCAGAGAACTTAGACAACAATGAGGACCCTAAGAGAGCCATACACAGATCTAATCTACAAGGGAAGTAGAAAAAGAGAAGATCTCCTGAGTAAATTGGGAGCATGTAGACCTTGGGGGAGGGTTGAGGGGAGGGGAGAGGCAGGGAGGGGAGCAGAAAACAACATAGAGCTCAATAAAAAAGACTATAAAAAAACATTAAAAAAAACCCTACTTACCCCTACCACACAAATTAGAAAATAAAGCTAAAGAACTGTTTAATATTAAAACAAACTTTTAAAAAGGCTCATAGATTTCTAATAATTATATGAGAAGATATTCATTGTCATTGCTTGTCCAGAAAATGCAAGTAGGTCAGAAAGATGGCTCAGTGGGTAAACGTACTTGCTGCAAAACCTGCTATCCAAGTTCAATCAATGTCTAGGACCAACATGGTGGAAGGAGAGAACCAACTCCCCAGGTTGTCCTCTGACCTCCATACATGCACATGCATGAGCGTGCACACACACAACTAAATGTAATCAACAATCAAAATTAAAACTGC